TGCTGTGCTCCCCACAATTGTGGTATTATCACCATACGACACTATCATAGTACCACTGACTACGTTCCTTGGGCTATGCCTTTTATTCCTATGACTTAGTCATTCTGTAACTGGAAGCCTATGTCTCCCACTCCCCTTCCCCCATTTTGTCCGTCTGTCTATCCCATTCCCCTCTGGCAATCACCAGTTTGTTCTCTGCATTTATGGGTCTGTTTCTGCTTTGTTTTGTTTTTTTAGATTCCACATATACGTGAAATAATATGGTATTTGTCTGGTTTATCATAATACCATCTAGGTCCATCCACAGTGTAGGAACGGTCTTCTTAATTTCACTTTCAGTTTGCTCATGGCTACTACACAAACCCACAATTGATTTCTGTGTATTGATCTTATATCCTGCAACTTTGTGAACTCCTTTATTACTTCTAATAGTTTTTAGTGGATTCCTTAGGATCAAATGACTTTTAAACACATGGAAAAAGACCGGTTTCTCTTATAATAAGAGAAATGCAAATGTAAAGTATCACGAGATATGGTTTTGTTCACCTACTACATTGGCCAAGATCTAAAATTCTGGAGGCTCCTGGGTGTCTCAGTCTGTTGAGTGTCCAACTTCGGTTCGGGTCATGATCTCGTGGTTTGTGGGTTTAAGCCCTGACCTGGGCTCTGCGCTGACAGCTCAGAGCCTGTTTCAGATTCTGTCTCCCCCCGCCCCTACCCTGCTTGTGCACGTGCACACACTCTCTCAACAGTGAATAAACATTTTTAAAAAAAGATCTAAAATTCTGATATCATTGTATAGGTTGCAATCTATGAACACATGTACCTCATTCATCAACCCCACTTCCAGGGGTGTACCCTACAGCACCTGTCTTCCAGGTTGCACACAGTACTGCTGGTGAGGCACAAATGCTAGAGTATGTGGTATGCAGGCCCGTCACCGTTTGGTTCCATTTTTGCAAAGTTCAAAAACAGTCAAAACTAATCTGCTGAGAGAAATCAGCAGAGTTGTATTATCCTCATAACAGTTGATCAAGATCTTTAGGACGTGTTTTAAATGAGGATTTTATCCTTCTTAACCCAACGGTAATACCACCCAATGAAGCAGTAACTCCCCACTATCGAGTATCCAGTTTGCTGGTGGCTTGGAAGTTATTACTATATTATCCTTCCCAAAAGCACTCCGTTCAGCCCAAATCCTGTCCCCCAGCATTATTATCAGGGCCTTCCACATCGTCTCTTGTATTTCCTGATACTCTAAATTCTCTCGAGCCCTAGACAGACTCGGCAGCCACCCCACAAAGCCGACTGAACATCTTCAGTCGTCTCCTCCTGGATGGTGAAACTCCCTTGTGTGTGTGTAGGGCTGTACAGGGTTTATTTTGATCCTTGACACAACCTTGTGAGCATAGGTAATGAGAACTGAAACTCCCAGCGTGCTGGCATTTGAGCCCTTGATAAGCCCCGCGTCCTAATAAATCCACATGATCCAGTATTCCCAGAACAAGTCATACCTTCACATAATAAATAGCTGTCGGGTCCTTCCTGCCCTGTAGGAGGTATATTGACGAGGACAGCAGCTCTTGTCCCTGCCAGCTAGACTTTATAACAGGGTGGGGAACAGGCAATGCACATGTAAACCAATCAGTGCGGTACGTAAGCACAAACGAGCATCGGTGCTCCAAAGAGAAATGAACAAGGACGTGTGTAAAAGAGAAGAGCAGAGAACCACCCACTTGTGCAGGTGGTCACGGGAGGCTTCTGAGGAGACACCTGAAAGCATTTCTTTGCCTGCAGTGTAGAAAATGACCTGGAGGGAGGCAGGAGCCAACCGGGGAGGAAGCTGCACAGTTGACCAGACGGCTGACCTGTGCTCCTGAGGTTTCTCTTGGGGTCACTCTTTCAGCAAACATTTCCCTAGAGCAATGCGAGATTCCCTCTACCGAGCATATTCTTGTGGACTTGGACGTACTGTCCCTTCTTTCTGGTCCCACTGCTGACCGTGTCTGCAGGCTCTGGTCACCTCCGCACTGGATGACAGCCCTAGACCTCTGCAGAGTGTATATCAACGTGGTTTTTGGTCAGAGATCTAGCCCCAGTGCCTTATCAGGACCATCGGAGAACAGATGCCTCTGTCCTGGCCAGGCCACCATCTCATCAGGTTCACACAAGGCTGCCTAATTAGTGTAGCCATAAACCTGTAGCCACAGGTGGGAGTGGCAGGGCCAGCAGGAGCTCTGATCTTAAGGACTGATGTGTTAGACATGGAAGAACCCTGAATGTTCCCAGTTCATCAGCCTCGGCCCCCACAGTCTGGGAGTAGCAGGGCATTGGGTCAATTGGAGGAGGTGACCCAGGTGGCCAATGGTGAGAGAACATCCTTACCTACAAGGTAACTAGCAGACTGTCAAACTCATCCACCTAGTTACACGAATAGAGAATTATTCCTGTGTGTAGCATGCATGATGCGTTTAGAATACTTTTTGCCATGTTCAAGAATTGGATTATTTTATGATAAACGTAACTACTCTGAAAAAGCTTCTGAAGACTGGTTTCCAACGATCACATCAATGTCAGCGGGGTAAGTACACCAATACATCAAGGTTCGCTGTGGGTCTGAGCTCACCCCACTCTCACACCACAGATGTGCTCATCTCTGGGGCAGAAATTCCCTTCTCCCCAAGTGGGAGCCCAGGGACTCAATATTAAGAGACATACGCCTCATAGAGGTTTGGAACAGTTAACATGCCAATTGATACTTGCCAGAAATAAAGTTCCCGCAGGAGGAAAAATACATGTAGTCTTTTCTGACCTAATCTCCAGAAGTCAAGTGTGGTTGGGAAACTTGCAGAAACTAGCTCTATATTTAAGTTTCTGGAAATGCTTGGTCAATGAGCTGGAAGACAGCAGGGGATACTTACTTAGCACCCTAGAGATTCATGAGATAACTGGGGCTCCGCCCAACTTTTCCAACCTGTTATTTTGAAAAATTTCAGTTTTCCAGACTCGTTTGAATTGGACAATGAACCACACACACTCATCACAAAATGTTAGCATTTTTGTTACATTTGCTTTATCTCTCTGTAAAATACATATATTTCTGAACCATCTGAAAGTTGTGGCCACTAGGACTCTTGATTTTTCAAATAATCCAAGACAAACCTCTTAAGGACAAGGGCATTCTCGTGACAGACATCGTCACACTGACACATTAAGGATTATTCAATAATACTCTCTCTGAAATACATTCCATATGTAAAATCCTCCAACTGTTCCCCTCATCTCTTTGGTTGCTTCTTTCCTTTAAAGTAGTGTAGGTTCGAGGGTCATGTGATGGATTTGGTTGCAGTCTCCTGTGTCTGGCCTGATTCCCTAGCTTTTCTCATTTTCTCCCAATATTTTTGGCAGATTTAAATGGGTGTAATTTTTGACATTCAGCAGGCTAATGAGCAAGGCTTCTGAGGGGCGGGGGTGAGATACTTCTGGCAGGAATGGTGGTTGCGTACCTTGGAAGTGCCACCCTAGCAGACATAGGGTGGCTCACCTCCCTGGCCTGTGCGTTGTCTCCCAGTGACCATCGCTAGAGGCAAAATTTAAACCAGGACCTCTCCAGGAGGGAGGGGATGGGCTGACACATTTAGCTTTGCCTGGAGACATTTCTGGTTGTCAAAATGTTGGGGAAGGTGTGTGCTCAGGGCATCTGGTCAGTAGAGGCCAGGGACGCTGCCAAACATCCTCCTTAAAAAAGAAGTACTCAGCCTCAGATGTCCATAGTGGCAAAATGGAGAAACCCAGGGGATGCCACTGCAGTGTTCCAACCAGTGGACTCTTCCGCACCTGCCTCTTTCCCGTTCCTCTGGGCTCCTGATGTGCTCCATGCACGTGAAACACAAGTGAAAGCATCAACCCTTCAACACATCCCCACTGGTGAGCACAGCGACACGCTTCCGTATTTGTGTCTAAACTGGCCCTCTAGTTGGCCTGTGAACTCCCTGTGCTCACCAAGTGTGTCACCTGAGATGAGCTTTAATTGCTTGAGCAGGCACATATCAGTCTTATTTGAGAGGAAAGAAGAAGGTGCCAGTAAAATCCCAGAGGGCATTGCTAACTAGCAGCTCGCTGGGCCGCACGTGAGAGCCTAGTGTGTTCTCCAAAAGTCCTGTCATCCGACCTGACAGCAGTCCGTGAGGCGGTTTACTACGAGGTGGCTGCCCGTTGGCGCTCGAGGAACCAAGTCCCCTCTGTGCCCTGCTCCCTGCTCGAAGACACCTCGCTAGTGGGGGGCCGGGGGGGGGGGGGGGGGGCGCGCCCGGGAGTGGAGGGCGGTGCGCACACAGCTCCAGGGGGGGGGGCGGGGGGGGGGGTTGGGGTTCAGACCCAGGATTCAGCTCCTGCACTCATCTCATCAGGAGTCAAAACTGTTTCTCTTTTCCTTCCTCTCCCCATGCTCCCGCAAACAAACAACAAAACACTCAAAGGGCATCTTGGGTAAAACAAGTCAAAGGAGTTCTCGAGCGACCTTGGGAACGCCTGGTTCCCAATTTCGGAGGAGAGCTAGGCTACTTCTCTCGTGTGTGTCGGGGGTTGGGTTCTCAAGGTCACAGGTGGGTGGACAAGGCCCGGGTTCCTCCCCCCCATCCCCGGCGGGACAGAAGTGGGTGGGCGAGGCCCGGGTCTGGTCGGACCGGGACCCGGGTCCGCAGGGCGCCCCTCCCTCGCCCGGCGAAGAAGGTGGGTGGGCGAGAACCGGTTCTGGTCCGAACGGGACCCCGGTCCGCAGAGCGCCCCTCCCCCTCCCGGCAGGGCAGGTGGGTGGGCGAGGCCCGGCGGCGGCGCAGTGCGGCCGCGGGTCCGCGCACGGGGAACCGGCCGGGCTGGGGCTGGCGCCCTACCCGGCGTGTGGCCAGTGTCAACGCAGCCACGGCTCAGCCCGCGGACGCCCCTACCACCGTACCCGGCCTCATCCACCCGGGCGGCGTGCGCGCTGCAGGACGACTTACTGCTTAGATCCAAGAATGAGGAGGGCAGGTCCATCCGCGAAAGTCCTCCCACTGAACGAAAACGAAACTTCCCAGGATGCCTGACTTCCGGCGCGAGCCCTGGCGCCCCAGGCTCCCGGGGCTCGACGCCCCGAACACCGCCCCTTCCCGGCGCACACCCGGGGGCCGGCCCCGCGCGCCCTCCCCGGGGCCCCGCCCAGCTGCCCCCGGCGCCACCAGGTGAGAGCCCCGCCCGGCCCCGCCCCGGCCGCCCACGCCGCCACCGGGAGAGAGCGGCGTCGGGCCCGCCCTGCTCCGTCCCGCCCGCCCAGCTGCCAGGTGAGCGGCGCCAGACCCCATCGCCCACTAGGCCCGTGAGAGCCGCACCAGCCCCGCCGCCAGGTGAGCAGTTCCCAGCCCTGCCCGCTCGCTGGGCCCCTCCCGGCCCCCAGGCCTCGTCCCGCGCCGTCCCTTCGCATCCGCCCGGCCGCCGGGTGAGTGGCGCCATTCCCCGCCCGGCCGCCGGGCCAGGTCCAGCTTCGTCCGGCCCGCCCTACCCGCCGCCAGGTGAGCAGCTCCAGGCCCCGCCCGCCGCCCGCCGGGCTCCACCCAGCCGCCAGGCCCTGTCGCGCTCCGTCCCGCCTCTTCCCCGCCTCGCGGCCTGGTGAGTCGCACCAGGCCCAGTCCCGCCTCCCGCCTAGCCCGGCTCCCAGGCCGTGTACCGCTGCAGCGCCAGGCCCCGCCCCGCTTGCAGGTGAGCTGCCCCTG